ACATCCTGTTTGGAGTCTCTACAAAAAGCTCAAGCAGAGGAAACTGAACAAAAACACCTAGTTTCTGAAAGCGGAGAGGACTTGTTAGAAATTGTACTGTATCAAAAATGCGATTCAGATAAGCTTTTAATATTCATACATAGTTTTAAAGTTAAAAAGAAGTAGGAAAACAATTCTGAAAGTCTAGCTTGTTCAAAATAAAGACACGAATTGCAGTAGCTTTCTTTTGACAAGTACTGAGTGTTTTTCTGATCCTTTTTTCCAAAAACACAATCTTTATGAACAAACTTTGTGAGACTTTGTAAGTACCTGGTAAGTTGAACTGAAGACTACAGATGTAAAAAACCCACCCTTCAGTTTGATTGCACACAGTTCATATAGCTGAATGGCATTCTGGACGAAAAACAAGACTTGAACTGAAGTAACCCAAAAGGTAAACAATTTCTGTTCAGTTCATACTGTTCGGTAAGCAACTTTCCAACACTGCCTGGCTGGTTGCTTTACAGACAGCTCAAACGAACATGTGCCTCATGGAGAAGTAAACATGATAACAATCTGTGGCATTTCGTTGCCTCAAAAGAATCTTTTATTTTATCTTTTATTTTTTAAAAAACTAGCACTTTTGGATCACAAACCTCATAAGGTAAAGTTCATCATGTCCATTCAACACATTTTGACAGGGTTTTGAGGCTTTGAGTATACAATGTAAATTAAGCTATTGCATTTAATTACTGTACTCCACCTCACTTACTTTTTTTCTTACCCCCAGGGTCCGAAATTGCGCCTTCCTGGTCGCCAATGCGACTAAAAATTTAGTCCTGGCGACCAGAATTTCATAGCTGGTCGCCAGCTAGCGACTTGTAAAGCTGGTTGTTATTGTGGACTTAAACGTTTGGAGAAACTGATTAAGAATTGAAACCTCGAAAAGCTATTTGTCAACAGGTGTCTTCCTTTTTGTCCTGCTGATATTTTTTCATTAAAAGGGAAACGAATCTTCCTGTAATAATACCTCCACAACAGCTACGATCAATACGAGTTGAACGTTTCCAAGCCGCCATTACGAGTAATGTGGCACAAAAAAAATGTGGCCTGGTACGAGCAACATGGCGGCTATGTTTCGTGGTTGTTTTGTGGATTGTTTTGTGGTAGTTATCGGAAGAAAATAGTTTTGATATGATCCGGTACAGTCATGGGCAGACAGCTTTCTGTTCCTACGTTCTAGATCAGATGGCTTTACATGTATATCTCCAAAAAGTAATTTGTGAAAAAATGAGACTTCACTCGTACACATATGGTTTCTTTCTGGTATCGGGAGAGGAAGTATTGCAATTTTTAAGCACAAAAACGCCCATACCATGCATTTTTTATTCGTGTTTAAACTTTTATTTGAAAAAAAGGGAGGGGGAATTTTTGGCGACCACAATTTGCCCTCTGGCGACCAAAAATTTATACTTGATCGCCAGTTGGCGCTCGTATTAAAAAGTTAATTTCGGGCCCTGACCCCTGAAGATTGCATTCACCCCTGAGGTCTTTCATAAATTATGGGTTTATCCCTGAAGAAAATGGGCCAGATATTTAAACGTAGTTTAGCCTGCATTTAACAAAAGCGTGTTCTAAGCCATTTTCAGTTTCCCCAACGGTTTTATCTAAACACTTTTTTTTCTCAACAGTTTTATGAAAGCATATAAAGTAGGTTAGACAAGCAATTATCTTCTTAAAATAACCCACTAAGGAAAAGATCTGGAGGTCCAAACATTTGTTAAACTGCGGCTTAAGTTAGACTTCGTTCAAATAACCGACCCTATGGGTCTATCCCTGAAGAATTTCATGAAAATTAAAGCTTCACCTTTCCAAGATTTCAGTATTTTTTACTCTACCTCAATTCTCAATTCAAATTCTCCTTTCTTGTAACTCACCAATGAAGAATTCCATAGTTCCTCAATCAGCACTGGGGTACAGATATTAAATGCAATTCTTGGTTTGCAGCCATGTGACAAGGCAACCATGTTGGGGGTTGGTACAGTAGAATTTTTTCTTGAAGAATTTACATGAAAACAGAGTTTAGTTCCCAGAGGAGAGGAATGCTTTAGTTCTTGACCACCAACATGGCCGCCGTGACGTCACGTACAAACCATTCTCGTGATCGCGTCTCAACAGGAGAAAAAGACATTTTATAAGATTGATTGCGACAAACTGCGTACCCTGCGAGCAGAGGCTACACTTAAGCTACCTTTTGGCGAGCTACCTTTTGCACACCAGTTCATGCAACGCGAAAATTTTATAGAAACCTCTGCTCGGTATAAACTGTGTGGCCGAATATTTCCATCCACATAACAGCCGGTTAATTTGAGCATAGCTTCATTGTATGTTTTGTAGTTCAAAAGAACCGAAAGAAGTATTCAATTTTTACTTACCTGGCCTTCAAATACAATCGTTTGTAGCGCACTCGAGGAGAAATACTAGGCGTGTGTCTAATCACGATCAAAATGGTGTGATAACTGGGTGATAAATGTTTGGTGGCCTTTTTGTTAGTGTCCAGTCTCCCATGAAAGGGCTCGTTCAGAGTCACGCAATTCTCCCAGCATTGCGTGACTCCAGCTACCCTGCTAGCAGAATTGCGTCGATCTTTCCTAGATAAGACTTATCTAGGAAGATCGAAGGAGACTCTGTTCGCAGGGTAGACTCCAGCCCGAATACGGTGAACACTTCTCACCATATCCGAAAACACGCTCCAGAATACAAAACAAGTCCCTCAATATTTGAAGGCGTTTTTGGACTTGGCTGGATCCTGGAATGTGTTTCAAGTATTTTTTTTTTTTCGACCGAAAACCAATACACGAGTACTACAAACCAAATAATTAAGCGGCCGCGGTAACTTAAAAAAAAGAACTGGATCGGTAAAAAAAAAACAAAGAACAAAGAACATAGTAAAGAGAAGAAACGAAACAAAACAGTTTTTTAAAAAAGGCGAGATGAACAAAGAAAACAAACAACTGATAAGTTTGAAAATGTTAGTGGGCAAATGTGCAGTCCTTGTTGGTCTTGTCGATCAACTAGGTTTTGTCCTTCCAACTATCTCGTTCTCCAAAGTAGCCAATAAGAACTAAGAGTATGATCCTGATGATCGATCATTCAGCTTTTTCTTTTCTCGCCTCCTCCTCATTCTTTCTGTTTCCCCTCCTCTTCCTCCTTTAGTGTGATTTCTGGCATATCAGACGCCAAAATCTTGGGTCTTGGCCATATTTTAGGTACTGTGCAATAATTATCTGGAGGGGGTTCTGAAATGAGCAAAGTAGGCCTTTAAGCGAAGTTACGCCCTTCCTCACCACCTTTACCGGCTAGATGTAAAATAACTTCTAATCCCCACTTTTAAGATAAGACTGCAGGGGGAAGCCACCAATGAGTACAGACCTGATATCTATCGGATCCCACAACTAGATCATATGGAAGAAGAAACTCTCTCAATATTTACTTCACAAACTGAGATCTACTTGCATGCAAATGCTTTATTGGGAAAGCCAAGGACTTCGTTCACAGCGTTTGTTACTAATTAGGCCTCAAATTGTCATGGTTAGTAATGTTTGTTTTGCTTGTTTGTGATTTATGTCAAACTACATATACGTTGTGACATGTTTGCTCTTCAGTTTTTTTAATGAAATCTCTAATGACATAGACTATACAGTTAGCATATTATGCATCATTTCAAAGTTTTTTATTATTACAGGGTCTAGATGTGTCATGTACTGTTCTTGATATTCTTAGAAGTCAGTCAATAACAAAGAAGTTGACTTTGAATAAATTATGCGCCACTTAAACATCAATATAAGTTGTCACCCCCCTTCTATGTTTAACAAATCGACATCTAGCCCCCCACCACCCAACACCATAATTTAACTTTAGGTCCCCCCGTTAAATTTACACCCCCCCCCCTCCCTCTAGGTAATTATTGCACAGTCCCTTAGTCAAATGGCTGTAATTTTCTCTAGCTGTGTTTGTATAGGTAATAGCTGCAATTTGCAATTTGATTGGCTTAGAGCAGTGGTATTTCAGCTTAATTTGAAATACCTACATGTGAAAATTACAAACCTTCTGCCGGTAGTAGTATAAACAAATAATAGCATGATTAGTATTGATCTTTGGCAGAAATACCACGAGTGATGTTTCGAAATTGTTATACGTAATTTCACGAGCCGTTAGGCGAGTGAAATTTGAGACAATTTTGAAATATCACGAGTGGTATTTATGCCAAATATCACATACAAATCATGCTATTATTTGTTTATACTACTACCGGCAGAAGGTTTGTAATTTTCACATGTAGGTATTTCAAATTAAGCTGAAATACCACTGCTCTAAGCCAATCAAATTGCAGAAATTTCTCATGTAGTAGTATAAGCAAAGATAGAGCTAACTATATTTAAAATCGCCATATAATGTTCGGTCTGAACCTTAACAAACCTTCATAGCGGGGAGGGGGGGGGATCTTAACAAATAAAATATGTTCAGGGACTGGTCATAAGGTACAGAGGGGGGTGGGCTGGAAAAATAGAACCTCAGAAGACACATTTTTTGTTGCCCACCCTTCCTAGTTAAGCATAATTAAATATAGCTTACCTTTGAATCCTTACACAAAAATCAGTGGCCCATCCCCTCATTCCCTTCCCAAACCTGGGTCGTTTTACTATACTAATACATCAAGTACCATTCACCTTGCTTTTTATGATATTAGAGTTTCCAAGTGCGGCCCCATGTAGAAAGATCAAGGGGTTGGAACGGTAGTAAATAATCTATTGTAGATCAATTTAGGATATCATATGGTTTTCAAGGTTGTAACTTTAAAGATTAAAAAAGGCGAGAGTAAATTGTTGTCTCCCTCTATAAAATACATAAAAAAATATTTTTTAAGCTTCTTTTTATCTTCAGCTTTATCCGTATGTGTGGCTATAATTGGGAACCTGCTTATTCTTAGTTTCAAATAGAAACAAATACAGAGCACAATACAAGCAATGAATTCCCAAAGATTTTAATCAATAACAAGCATTTATATATCTCACCAATATATTATCCGTATGTTTTTAAAATAAACGCTACATAATGAAAGGTTGTATATAAAATGCAAACTCCAAATTCAGTTTGGATTGTCATTGACAAATACACAATAAAGACATATTTAAAAGAACGTTTTCAGACAGCATCTTCGATTTGGTGAATGTCCCCGTTCTGTTGTATTCATTTTTTCAAGTTCATGAGATCAATTAGCCTGAGCAAACAGCCGACGTTTGGCGACGCTACCACTGGTTTGTCTCGCAGATCAATTATTTGCCTCAGCCGATAATTGATCTGAACGCCACTGACAAATCACGATATTTTGCTTAACCTCGTCCAATAATTGTTAAATATCCAGTTGATCCAAAAGGCCGTAACCTAAGATCAGGGCCAATTTTAGCAGCCTCCATACATTCCGTCTTACGTCGTCAAAACGAAAATAAAGTCTGATCTCGGGTTAAAAAGGCAGGTACAATAATACTGTCAAACATTGAGAGAAGTGGGACTTCACGTTAGCATGGTAGCAAAATTTCTTTATCTTAACAGTCTTTCTTGACAGAGACGGCCATTTGCATTTTCGTACGTTGGAAGAAAATTATGGACTACCGTTTTGTGATTTTGTTTGAGTACAATCATGCACAGGAAACCCATGCACGTCATTTTTTTGTTTTTTTCTGCCATAGTTTGTTGAAATCCAGAAGTTTTGTTACCATGGGGACGTAACGTAATGACTCCACCTCTCTAACGTTCAGTAAAGCCAGTGCCGAAGGAAAGAAGATCCGAAAGAAGAGAAAGTCGCTATAAAACTACATATGCCAGAAAACACTATTTATTGCTTAAAGGTAATTAAAATATTTTATTTTTTTCCACTGGACTTACGATACATGAACATTAAAGCCGGTCGATCATTTCACTTCACCTTTTTCGCATTTGTGAGCTGCACATTTAAGATAACTTTTGCGTTTGCTTAGTTCATGAAAAGGCGAAGACTTGGATCTCGGCAAGGGCTAATTCAAGCGCCCTAATCGTAATTATCCTTTCAAAAATTGAAGCATAATCCAAATCTCTATATGGATTTGATTAGCCGTTGCTAAGATCTGCCTTTCCAAAATTCAGAAGATGAGCTAATTTGGTTATTCTTTGGTGTTTCGACTAACATTAAATAATGAACTGAAGCAGACAGTGAGACAACACCCATAGCACAACATAAAAGACAATCACAGTGTTAACCCCTAAAGATTGAACACTACTTAACAGTTGCAACTTAAGTCTCATTTTTTGCAAAGTGAAGAATTTAGCCCATTTTTTCAGGCGTTGTAGTTAAGCCGATCGTTAGTCATCTATATTCTGTCATTATTTCTCTGTTGTTCTCCATGTTTTACAAAATATTATTTGAGTTTTAAATCAAATTTTAAGGTAATTTTCATATTGCAAAATAATGATTAAAAATATAACGGCGAAGTCCCTTAGAACAGGACGACAAAGATATATACATATACCTACAACACACGCGCAGACAGATTGTTTCCTCAAAACTACAGTTTTGAGGCGTTCTCCCTGCTGCCAACCTACTAATGAGCTCGTATTTTTTTTTTTGTTCTCAACGTTTCTAACAGTACTTTCCTTGGACAGTGTATCAAAATTAGATGTATTTTTCCCTAATAAGCTTTTATGACTTCCTTTGGATAACGTACTGAATTATATACTACGTAAAAATAATAATATAAGGTCATCCCATCCCACACCAAGAAGGTAACGTTTGACGGCTGTAAAAAAAATTAAGACGATGTGGTGGGCACAACTGTTCCATTAATGGGGGCAGCAGTCGTCGGAATATTGACTACACTATCATATAGTGACTCGTCATAGAGAAGACCTGAAACGGAAAACACAAAGCAACTGTTGTTAAGTACAATAATAGCATAAATGCATTTAACCCTTTAAGTCCCAATATCCACATGCAAATTCTCCAAACTGATCTCTATACATTTTCTTAAAGAATTTGTTGAGAGAATTTGGTAAAAGATCAAATACGTTTCTCTTTGTGATCATTTTGTTAATTCTCATAGACTTTGCCCATGATAGTCTATGGATATCGTTAGGAGAAAATTGATTTTGAGCACTATTGCGACTTAAAGGGTTCAGAAAGACCTTTAAAAAAAGGAGGAATAAAGCTTTTTTCATGATCGCTGCAAACGTGCAATCGAGGTTGAATAAGATTTGACCAAAACTAAGAATCACTTGTAAGGCAATTGCTGCAGCTTTGAAAAAAAAACTCCAGACTTTTAACCTTTTTTTAGACTTTTTCCAGATCGGGAAAAATGCTGGGCAAGTTTCAAGACTTTTTCAAGAATTCCAGACCCTGTACAAACCCTGAAAACATATAAAGGCAAGTAAATATCTCACCTGCAATGCAAGCTGTCATGAAGCAGGCAACTGTACCTGCAACCAGGGCACGTACAGCAACACGAGCCATGTCGGGTTTTCTTGATGGCGCAAGTGGCCCCAAGCCACCAAGCTGGACTCCGATGGAGGCGAAGTTGGCAAAACCACATAATGCATATGTAGCTATAATCTCTGAGCGAATCTGTTAGAAAGGTTAATAAAAAGCAGAAAAGTGCCTGGTGAGATAAAGTTCAGCAATTGATAAACAAGACAGAGATGTGGTAAGTTAAGGTAATGCAATGTCCTAACTTTTTCAATGGCCCGAAAGGTAAGTGGTAATTAACCAAATATTAGTGGACAGTTTTATTCATAGTAAATGAGAAGGAACCAAACAACAAATTGACAAATCTGTTTTTTTGCTGTACATAGAAGAACCTTAGTGATCTTGGATGAAAAAGTTAGGGCTTACTTGTTAACTTTTAGTCAATCAAACAGTGTGGCTTGATATTATTATTCAGTAATTAATCATTAAGTAACATTTGATCAACATGTTATGATCACAAATGACGTTATCGTTCTCAAGTAGTATTTTAAAATCTACTCTAAGAAATGAACAATCTGCAGTGGTTGGACAGAGTGAAAAATCGTTGGGATAAAAGATCGATTATTACAAAATGTACGGCATATATTTTTATTTTAAATGGTTTAAACCCAAGAATCATCTCATAAGTAGGTGGATCGTCCTGCACTTCTAGACTCTTAACAGCCAATAACAACAAAGCTTAACTGACAAGCTGCCAATACCATTGCGTTTCGATTGGTCAATGACAAGAGTTAAATATCATCAGCTGAGGATAGTCCCACAAAACTTATTGTGACTCTGCTGTTGACTACCGCAAAGAGTGTGGATCGAGATGTCAGTCACTGTCAGCGACAGTGCGACCCCTATACGTAATACTATACCTATTATTGTAGTAATATCTATTATTAAAATTTTGCAATTGTCATTCTACCATGGTTTTCCTAACAAAAAGAACAATTCCTTGAGTCTCTTCAAAAATGAAGATACAAAAAGATTTAGAACATTCCAAAATCGTATAATGTCAACAGATAGTGCAGATTGCATCACTACTGGAATTTAATTGTTTTTGACAATTTTCGAAACAACTGTTGACAACTTTGATAAGTTTCACATTAAAAACGGTTTCATTTGTAATCCTTGATAATAACGACTCCACGTCCAAATCAACATTGATTTTGACTGGTTCTGTGTTATGTGGAACCCATCAAAGTTTTTTTTAAAAAAATTGTAAAAAAAAACATGTTAAAAGATCTCAAAACTTCGTCATGAGTAACAGTGACGCGATCTGCATTGTGATATTTCTGATGGCCACCAAATTGTTGGAAAGCCTAAATTACCAGCTAAAAAATTAAATAGTCAGCTGTACGTAATAATCTATTGCTTGTGAGGTCACAGTCTACGTGAATACAGCCAAAAACCGGCGCCTAAGAACCTGGTCCATTTTAGAACCTGTTAGGCAAAAATTTGCCAGTTAGGCCCCCCCTATACAAGAACCTGTTTAGCCTAAAATTTGAAACAGGTTCTTATTTTCTAAAATCTATGAAAACAATTCTGTACACTTGGGCAAATAAGATAGCCAACGTTCAGAATCCTGTGTCTTATCACTCCAACTGCAATATAATAATGGCATGCAGATTTTATATAAGAAAAAGGCTGAAAAAAACACTAAATACTCTTAAATTCAATGATTTTTTTCTTCAGGAAACACGAATCACATTTGAGAACCAACATAGCCTAAATTTGTGCTGATTACCGTTTATGTAATAACCTGTTTAGGCTAACTTGAAAAAATGCAGGTTCTAAGTTACGGGTTTTTACTGTATCATTACTAGCTTGTATATGCCATATGACTTATTCTTAATACTGATTAAAGAAACAATCATAACAGGTCAATCTACAAATGTTTAATTTGAATCATTAGGCAACATCTCTCTACTTTATATTATTTCTATTTCACCAAACTGACATGCGGCACTTAAACAACCATTATGAGAGGAAAACCTAGGACAATGGAGTAAATAGTTATCTAGTACATGTCTAGCCCTCCGCCAGAGCGAATCAGGAGATGTTGATTTTGTGTGGATTATATACCGATGTTGGAGCTATATACAATCTGGTGGGAACATTTAAAACAAAAATAGAAGAATAAATAAGTTGGATGAGAAGATTAAATAAGTAGATAAAACTAAAGTCATATTTAAACTTTAATCCTCCAACGTTTCTTTAGAAAGAAACCCCTCCGAGACTGCCGAAAAGAGCGCCTTGAAATCAGTTAACTTGCCAAGATTGAGAGTCATAATGTCAAAAGTTAGCCTGTTCCAGGCTCTCAGATAGTGGGGAGACGCAAAAGAAAAAGGCACGGGGAAAGTTGGCGGGGTGGGTAAGTTTCCTCCCGTTTTACTTTAGTGTTTGCGCTTTTTCAATTCAGCGGACCCGACTATCTCGGAGCCTGGAACGGGCTAGTCAAAAGTGAGAGAACGAACAAACTTGCCCAAACCATACAAACGAATGACTCTCGACTTTGCGGAAACTTGTATTCATTATTTTGGAAAGTATCATTTATTTTGCTTTCATTCCAAAGGTCTCGATGGTCTACTTTAATATGCTTGGGAAGCATGCCCTAATATATAGTTTCTTTGTAGCGCGAACATCAGCATCATTGGGACGTTAAGGGGTGGGGGAGCGAGCACACTGCGCGAGACACGGGTGGGATAGAAAAAAGAAAATTTACTTCAGTGGCACACGCTGTCAAGAAATCTTTAATTAAAAGAGAAATTGTAAGGCAAATGCGAACTACATTTCTGAAGGAAACGAACACAGGAAAGATGTCGAGTGAGGTGAGACATTAAAACGAATGTTGATAGTATACTTTGACATCGATAGACCATAGAGGGCAATGATATTTTGATATTCTGCATGGAGTAAAAGGTCTGAAGAGCATTGAGGGTTGATATTTTGAGATATGATAACATCAGATTATTATCATATTATCAGACTATTATTGATTCTATCAACTATCAAAATATATCAATTTTGATAGGGTTAGATCGCGCAAAGGTTTGTTATTTGGATATACCGTATCATAATACTAATTGTTATTGTAACTATCAAAATCTCAGAACTTTGATACCGTTACATTGTGTGAAGAGGCATGATATTTGGATACATAACGAGAGTATGCAAATATCATAACCTTAGACTATCAAAACATTTATGTGACTATCAAAATCTCAGAACTTTGATAGGTTTACCTTAAGTGTCTACAGGCATGATAGTTGAATACAAATAAAAGTCAACTGGGCAGCAAAAAGCCACTTTCGATATATTAAAATTCAGCATGACAGCGATAATTGGAGGACACAAAGTAAATGCATAATGTTTATTCATTTTCTTTGTTTGTGTCCTCTACCAAAAACACTGAATAAACATGATTATCAATTTTCTTTGTTTATGTCCTCCAAGAGTCGCCATCATGCTGAGCTTTTATATATCAAAAGTGGCCTATTCTAAAAGACGTTATTTAGGATTCGTCACCCGTTCTATCGCTGGGGAGCACTGTGTCATCAGAACATTGTCCAAAGAGTAATACCCGTCAACACTGCACGCGCTTAAAGACTGATACACCCTGAGTGTTTTCACTCACGTGGTCAGCATCTATGCAAATTTATTGGAACAAAAGAAAGCGTTTGCATAAGAAAAGATTTCAACTCTCACAGGATTGGTTTAGACACCAACATGGCGGCCGTTTCATTGTTTTGGGACACCAATATGGCCGCCGTGACGTCATGTGAAAACACTCTATTCGGCTGACTCAGTGTTGTACCAGATTCAAATCTCCCGGGGTAAAGATTCTTTGTGTATTGTATTTGCCTTATGCGGCATTCACATTTAAATGATATGGAAATTCCTGAAACAAATTAATTTGTTTCCAAAGGGTTTGAATTGACCAATCCAGAAAATACCATAACATACCATAATACTCTTTGTTGGTCACTCCAAAATTTTGCAAAAGCATTGTTTTCAGTTTCTCTTGGGGCCATTTTAACACCCAAGAGAAACTAAAGACAATGCTTATGCAAAATGCTGGAGTGACTAATTAAGAGTATTATGGCATGTTATGGTATTTTCTGGAGTGGTCAATTGGGTACAACACTGAGTTAGCCGAATAGGTCTAGGGGCAAATAAGTGAAAAGAAATTGCAAGTGCAAGAAATGGCGGTCGAGTTTGTTTATTCTAGACGGCAAAAAATACAAAACCTTTCATGTTAAAGACGATTGTGGTAAATTATGGTTTGAAATGCCCGTTGCTACCTTTCTGAATGCAGCAGCGACTGTAGATATCCTCGCAGCAAACAATAATGACCTAATTTCTGTCGAAACTAGAGCTGTTCATTTTGCATGACCGTTATCGGGTATCGTGAATAAGGTCTTTAAGAAACGGTACAGATAAGAACGATAGCAACAACGGAAACGAACATGTTGGAATGCAAAAAAGGTGCTAACTTTTCTATTGTCTGCACTTACTTCTTATTGGCTTAAACAGCAAAAGTTAACAAAACTTCATAAAGCAGTACATATATTCATCCTTACTTTCCAACCATCTTCCATATAACAAAATCTGGTCTCAGTTTGAATAACAAAGAAATCCTATGTGAGGAACATGTGGAATTGTAAACTTTTCTTGGCTATTGTTTTCAACTCTTGTGATTGGTCAAAATCTTTCAACACAAAAACACCCTTTCAAAGAGGAGTGTAAATGCATTTTATTGCGTAAACGGCCTTCATGTAGGTTTATGCATTCTCTGTGTAAACATGAGAACATTCCTATGTGGGGAAAGCACCGTTGCCGCATAACAAAAGAAATTGCTATCCACCTTACTCGGATCATTACTTGCGCAAAACTAGGATTAGTTACTATGCCCAGTGAAATGCAGAAGAATGGTGAAATGCAGGAGGGAGGTGAGGTGCGTTTGTTACAAATATACCACTATGAGCCCACACTTTTACACCTGACAGAGAAAATTACAACGTTTCACGTGAAGATACTTTTATTTACAAAAGAGTACACTAAATGACATTTGTTACTTACAATTAAGTATAAAATGACGTTTTGCTTGAGAAAACGATAGCTGTTATGGTTATTTCAAAACGATTTTCTAGTGGAATTTTGGTAAAAATATGTCTCTATTCCAGGATAAATAATGCGCAAGAATAAAAAAATCATACTTGCGAAATGAAATAATAAAAAACATAAGAAAGGAAACCAATTACCCTTGTTTAACTCTTAGTTAAAAAAAGATGCTTTTCATTAAACACACAGAAGCAAGAAAGATCAAAAGTATTGGTGGTGCAAACACTTTTTGTTCTTAATAATTCTTGTAATACTACTTTGGATAATTTCTCAAACTTAAACAGTTTACACAGCACAACTAAGTTACAAGTAATGTGCTTGCGATACGTTTACAACACGAATCGCATTTTGTATATCAGTCCTAAAACTGATTTGCAATTGCTGTTGACTTGATTTGCATGATAGGATTCGGGTTGTAGTTTTGCTGCAAGCACATTCCTTTCGAGACAGTTGCACAGTGTAAACAGGCTTTCAAACACCCACTCCCTATAAAAATTGCTGACTGACTTGTTTGATAGCATAATGATCTCATGATACATGTAGGAAAATACTCATATAATTTGTTACATGACAAAATTAATCCTACCCCCGACCCCCAAAGACTAAAGTTACTAAGCTATTAACAGAAAAGATGTACACTACAATTAAGAGGCTGTGGTTGGTATTACTGTGCCATTGATGGTGGCAGCAGTGGTTGTAAGACCAACTGCACTTTCATACAGTGTCTCATCATAAAGAACACCTGAGGAGGAAAACAGAAAGCTTAGTTACTGATTAACGCAGTAATACAAAGACAGTCAAACACCTACAGTACACCATATTGTTTTCAGGAGTAGGTCAGGAATTTTAAGCATAATGCAAGGTAACACCATTAGCAGTATTCTATGATAAACGTTTTCCATGCATCATCATCGCCATGTTGAACTTTTCTGCACTCCCTTAGTCAATCCATTCTCATTCTCCTTCAACAGTCTTAGGAATGGTCTTTCCAAGAGACATTCATGACTGTTTTTAACTTTCCTACACAAGCTTTTAAATAGAAAAGAAATGTAACATGGCATATCACGTGTTTCAAGATCTCAAAAAGGATGAAAGTTTGACACCAGAACACAGTACAGCACTTTAAGACTATATTCCAAATCACAACCATGAGTATGGAGGAAATCTATTACAGCAGACATTGAGGCCATAGCAAACGAGGAAACTGTTGCAGAAACATGGCCACGAAAATGATAAGATGGCAAAATAAGGGAAACAAAGTTTAATATGGCTCCATCTCAGATCTTCATCTCTGAGCTAAGCCCGGCAACCCAGTCTCTGAAGTCACGTCTGCAGTTCTCCACAGGAGCATCAACAAGCGGGGAAGGTTATGACAATTGTCTTTGACACAGGGAGTGAAAGCTACTTGCATTCCTCACTTCGGCATAAAAATACTCTACTTCCAGAATCAATACAACTAAACTAAACATGTGACATTTGACATTGTGGATAAGACCCTATGTTGAGACCATTCCAATGATGACCAACAATACGAAACTTAGTAGAATATCAGCATTTTAGGATAATTCTCTTATCTTTGTTGACTATTGATTGGAATTCTCCGTGGTACAGGGTTAGACATTGCTTTCTCAATGCTGTACAGACACCTCACCTGCCATACATGCAGTCATGAAACAAGCCACAGTCCCAGCAACAAGGGTCCTGATTGCTATCTTGGACATATCGGGCAATCTGTTTGGGGCCATGGGACCGAGTCCACCAAGCACTACCCCTACTGAGCCCATATTTGCGAACCCGCACAGGGAATACGTGGCAATGATTTCAGAACGAATCTGTTTGAATAAAACAACAACAAAAACATATATCTCACCTGCAATACATGCTGTCATGAAGCAGGCTACGGTACCTGCAACCAGTGCACGTACAGCAACACGAGCCATGTCTGATCTTCTTGATGGCGCAAGTGGCCCCATGCCACCAATTTGGATTCCGATAGAGGAGAAGTTGGCAAAACCACATAACGCATATGTTGCTATAATCTCTGAGCGAATCTGTTAGAAGGGTTAGATAAGGAGCAGAGAAAACTACTCAGTGAGACAAAATAAACCTCAGAGTAAAAGAAGAGCAATATCGGCAGACATCTCTCGTAAGGATTAAAATATAAGTGAAAAAAATGGTCAGTATAAGGCAAAAAGAGAAAGTAGTTGAACAATGGTGATCGAGATAATCGACGTGAAATGGCAACTCAGTGAGCAGCTAATAAACAAATAATTAATATAAGTAATGAACAGGAATTAATAGGATGAGTATGACTCACATTCTTTAACTTCCAAGCAAATATTAAGGGGAATATACTGCAACTCTGCAGTTCAAGACCGTGGAAGAAATCATAATGATGGGACTATTGATATGATACAAGTATTTACTTGCACTGAAATTTGGATCTTAGTACTGGATTTGTGACCATACTCTTGCTTGGGAGTGAAAGGGTTAAAATAAAAGGGCACACCATAAAAAGGAACTTCCAAGGAAGGATTTAAGGGCTCGACCACCTCTGCAAAAATTTATAACAAGCAAGAAAAAGCATGAAGCAGCAAGACTAAAATGAAATTTACTCTTGCTACAAGACAAGTCATGCACCTTAATTTTAGACTTCCAAACATAGGGCTCATTATGATACTCAAGGCGGAAAGATCTAACCCTTGATATGGTGTGCCATTACAAGTTAAAATTAGTTTTTTCGTAGTTTACTTTGATTATTCCTAGTAAACTACTGTTTGTGCAAATAGTCCATTAAAAGGACATTGAACAGTTTAAGAGAAGTTATTTTCACTTTAATGGCAAGTGAAAATAGAGATAATGACAGTGCGCCATTAGATATTAAAATTAGTTTTTTCATAGTTTCCTATGATTATTCCTAGTAAACTACTCTTTGTGCAAAACGTGTATTAAAGGAGCATTGAACAGTTAAAGAGAAGTTATTTTCACTTCAATGGCAAGTGAAAATAGAGATAACGAAAAAACTTTGTTCCATGCTGAGCGAAAGTAATACAGTATCACACATGCAGCTGATACAGATTGTTATAAATTGAGTACATAACAAATGGTGAATGAATGGATAGTCAGGCAGTCTGAAAAATAAGCTAATTTCAAGCAACCACTGAAGAAATAAATGATTCTGACTAAACGTTAGCAGTAAACTGCCAGATACCGATAAAACTGCATCGTGAGAATTTGAAAGTCAAGAGACAAATACTGTATTCAGTGCTATTAGCTTCAGGGTGTTTATTGTTAGTGCCTTTGCTACCTATTAGCAATAACCTCGCAGAGGTATTTTGAAAAAAAGCAACGACAACAATCCAGTTTTTATTTCCCAAAAACTCTCAATAAACCACAAATTATAATCGGATTTATTAACAGACTCGAGACCACTTTGTTAAAAGTATTAAGAGCATAGTTAAATTATACAGAAATGGTACTGTAATACCATGCACTAACAACACAGTTCTAGGGTAGTGAAGATGAAAACAAAGTTGTTATTCAGTTTGTGCAATGCAATATGATTAGCAAAGTTCACACTTTTCAAGTTAAAAGTCACAGAATGCAAGTATCAAGAAGTTAAGAGTCCCACACAGTTTATCAGAAATGAACTTAAAGAAAAAAAAGTTATCAAGTTCAGTGGTATTTAATTTCTTAAGTTAGACTTTTGTTAAAAAATGCAGTACAGATACATCAAACATGCCTTACCTTGTCACTTAGAAAGTCTGGAGTAGTTGCTGAACATCACTGTTTATAGCATTTAGATGCAATTGAATAATTACCACAATAAACAACCGCAGCAAAAACAGCAGTTTATTTGCACCATGAGTTAAGCATATTAATCCAGTTCATTATTTTAGATATTTTCTTATCATAACACAATATAATGTCAGAATTGTTAAGATTCAGAATCCTTTAAATTTTGGTTAAGTAATATTGTTTCTCTTTATCTATTCATCAACTTGACCCTGATAGCAGTAGGGAGGAGGTGGAACCATTTAAAATACTCTAAACTACAATGTATAAGAAAACAGTTAAAATTATAATTATGTGGAAGACATTATTTATATACATGCATACACCTGCATCTCTAATTTAATAGTGGTGATAAGCTACCAGCTCTTGTCATACTTTAAAAATATATTTTGACTTTAAATAGAAAAACAGGTTTGAGCAAATATGTCAAAAGCCACATTAAGTTAAACTGCTTGTCTCCAACTAGAATTAAGGAGTCATTCACTTTAAACTTATTATATTGTTTTAACTTAACTTTGGTTAACTTCTTTAAAAAATATTGCTATGCTGTAAACAGTACAATTATTCATAAAATGCTTAAGATTTAACACTTTTTCAAGTTTGAACAGAGTTTTCAAACAGTTATAGATAATGAAAACTTTATTGGTAGATACAATAAATTATGAATAGACCCTTATTATGCTAACTTATTTCACAAAACACGGTAACTAATATAAATAATATATGACATTACACTTCATTAAAAAAAATTTTTTTTTTTGAATGTAAATGTATTTAGTCTGCCTTTAGGACATTAAATCGGTTAGTACAGTAGCTAACATTTACGACATTAACAAGCTTACAATATGATAAGGTTATGTCTTTTATGATCACCTCTTTTCGTCACATACTTAGTTTCAATTACAAAATAATTGACCAATAAATTTATGAGAAATTTAGTTTAAAAAATACTATTGAAAAATTTTTTCCACAAATTTTGTAACCATTAAAACGAATTAGGTATGTTAACCAAATTTACATTCATTTCAAGATGTAAATTCCATGATTAAAATAAAGATGCTTCTTTATCTAATATCCTGTATTTGTGTAGCATGTGAACAAAATTACTTCATTAGAAAGCAAGGAGTAAAGTTTGATTAATCAAAGTTTTAGGATGTCTTAATTGGATCTCAGAAATTTCAGTATGTGTATATGTCATGATTTTCTGTAAGCATGCAATTATGAATTTAAAGCCGTGAAATAAAGATTTTACATCAAGTTAAAATTCAAAGCAACCTCTTATAAACGACAAATAGATAATTAAATGCTTATGCTTATGCAAATATAGCCCCTTAGAGCCTTGCATGTATGTAAAAGAGAGGATTATTTTGGTACAGTTTAAAAACGTCTTTAATTTTTAAGCACATGTTAAAGGATATCACCAAGAGGTAAATGGTGTTATTCGGAAAATCATTATTTTTTGTTTCTTGACCTTTAGTTATCATTTGTTACATTTATTTTCAATACCTGAATATCAAACAAGTTAAAGGATATCAGCAAGAGGTAAAATGTTGTTATTCAGAAAATCATTTTCTTATTTTATTACCTTAAGTTACCATTTATTATAATTTATATATATTTTCAATATCTGAATATCAAACATATTTAAGGATATTAGCAGGAGGTAAAGTATTGATATTGAAAATCATTAATGCTATTTATTATTATTATTAATTATAATGATACCTTATTTTTATATTTTATTATTTATTTCCAAAAATTTAAAATCATTAATATTTTTATTATTAATTATAATGACACCCTATTTTTACATTTTTATATCCGTTTTGAATACCTGAATATCAAACATATTAAAGGATGCTAGCAAGAGGTAAAGTGTTGATTTTGAAAATCATTATTTATTAATTATTATTTAATAATTATATTGTTACCTTATTGTTACATTTTTTTATATTTAATTGCAATTCCTTAATATCAAACAATGCAATAATTAGTGCAAAAAAGTTTTTAAAACTAATATTAAACTTTAACTCCTATTAAAACAACAAATCAGTAATATTGGAGGCAGGGTAAATTGCTGTTTTTAAACTGTTAATGGCATTAATTTTTAATACTTACAATCGAGTGTTTAAAATCGAGTAACTTTGTGCTGTTAGCAAGAAAATAAACATCAAAATCGTTAAGAGCAGTTAGCATAAATTGTTGAAAAGAAAAGGTTCAGTTAAATCCAACTCGGTTAATAATTAAGAGAGATTGCCTTCTTCAAGAAAACATGGCAAGAAAGTTCGTTATACTTAATCTTAGTATTTGTTATAGCATGCAGAGATCTAGCATAATGCTTTAAGCATGCATTTGCCAACTTCAAAGCTTTAAACATGCTATGCCATCCTTTGCTTTTTCCCAGAGCAGACTATGGTAGCTGTTGCTTTATTTACACTGGCTTGCATGCACAAAAAACCTGTTCAAGAATTTGAAACTTAGACATTGAGAAATAAACAGCGTTTTAGACACGATGTGTATACATGTCTGTAAATGAGTAGAAAGTACATGCAACTGTTACAGTAAAAACACACTGGAGTTACACTGATTGGGCATATTCCAGGACAAGATAAACAAGAAGATTGTTACATGTTTGTAACAATGCACATTGGCCAGGGATTAAATACTAGAAAGGCAAAGGAAAATAGAAAGTTGGGTAGACAAGAATGAAAAGGTCGTACGCCCTTCACAGTCATGCGCACCCAACTAGCTTTCACTTGTTCCTACTCCTTTCAGGCAACTGGTACAGTTTTCAACGATACAAATTTTCTTTTACTCTGGGACAATCAAGTGCACCCTTATTGTACTGTTAACAAGGGCAGTTTTAAAAGAATGAAAAGAGGCCAGAGAACTTCTTAAGTTGAGATGTATTATGAAGTCTAATATCTACCGTGAAGGCTTAAGTACAGTTAGCTTTAGACAGCTACATTATTTCATTATTTATGCCTTGCACAATAAAAATTCTGGAACAAATCAGTGTGTTCTCGTTACCCACTCTCCCCCATTCAATGCCAACATCACTTAAAACAGAAGACAGCCACTGACCATAACCTATTGACTGGAGGGAGGGGTGAGAACACATCCAAACAATAAACGGTCCAAAAATTTATTTTTTATGCTGGTATGAACATTTTCAGATGCATTCAGATCATTGGTTCACAACTGTAGGACAGCACAAGAAGACGGAATCCATTAGAAAATTGAGTAACTTTAATTTTCAGTTAACAAAAACCTTGAGCATGGATAATTTCAACCATATTGCATTCTTTTTTAAAATTTTCGAGAGCTATAAATGTAATAAGTTATATGAAATAACTCCAAATGAAAGGTTCTCATGGGAGCCCAAGAAAACAACCTTAAAAAAAAAACAAATTTCGCAAAATGAAATCTTACACATGACGATTTTAACTGTGTTTTCTCAATTCCTGTGACATTTGAAATTTATTTTCTCAGGCTCCTATGAGAACCTTTTCTTGGAGCTATTTGATATACATATAACTTACTGCATTAAGATTTAGAGCTCTTGAAAAGTGTAAAAGAGAATGTGATACGAGAGCAGTGCAATAAATGCTAAATCAGAAAATAGTATAACTGATTTAGAAGCACTACAGATTTCTTCGAATGCTACTTAGAATTGAAGTCTAAAAACAATTGAAGATTAAAAACAAGTCTCCAGTTGTATGATTCTTCTGATTTTTCCGATTCTACTATTCTATAACTGAGTGTGCTATTTTACGATTTCATCAAAAACTCCTCTATTTAGCACTTATCGCACCCTTCTGCTTATACATTCTAGTACAAGGTTCTTCCACTGAAAATCAAAATTAATCAATTTCCTGATGGATTATCTTAATTGCTTTTCATGCATTAATGTGTAATATTTTGATTTAGCTCAACGTTATTTAGGTGTTAATTAAAACCGCATGCGAGGCTTTCTTGAACTAGCCAGTTCCTGTGAATAGCAATTTTGCTTGGAATCTCGTATCATCCACCTTGAGAGCAGCAGTCACATGCATTCCTGTTTACCACTAGTTAGATATCACCAGCAGGCATCCAGCAGGGGCGAAATAATTACAGCTATATGTCACTTACCTTGGCTGTTTACTCCTGCCAGTTATTTTGTACAATTTAAGCTTAATGTACACTAGTCTAGGCAACTATTGCAATAATTTAATTGTCATGGCAACAGTTTCCCCATGTGACACACCCAAAAGGCTGTCACAGGGACAAAATGTGGCCTCTATTATGCAATGGTATCATTCAAACAGTCACGGACAAAACAGGACATAAAAGTCATAATGTATTTCGGAATTACAGAAGTACATGTAAATGAGGTTGCCACAATTTGCTGCTGCATAACATCACCTAGTGTACATCAAGTTTGAACTTACATTTATCATGTAGTAGCCCAATTTACTGTTAGCAAAACACTTTTGTTTGAATGGTTTTAATGCTTTTTACAAAGAATGCATCACACTGAAGCCTGATCTGCAGTTTGCTACTCTAACAAAATAATTTTTAAAAACACTTTAATGTCAATATTGCCCATTATCCAAGGCAAATCTCAAAGGAATTCACAATTCCTCCTACAACCATGATTCAAATTTACAACAACCATGATCATAAACTTGGTATTTCAAAAGTGTTTTCTACAGGAATGTTATGATAAAAGTAAACTGTGCTACTTGTATTACATTCCAAGATGTCAACCAAAGCCTAGTGTGTATAAGCTACAACTGTACCTCCTGTAAAACATCGCCATCAATTATTTTTACAAAATTGCAGACTACACATCAGAGACCTTTAGCATCGGGTTTTTCAGGGAAAACCGCAAACCCGAGAATGTCACGTGACTATGGTTTTGCAGTCGAGTTTGCAGTTTTCAGTTCACGCTTGAAGGGCAGGAAGGGCATCCAGCGGTAAGCGACTTACGGCAAGTTTTTTTCCCACTTAAAATTGTACAGCCTCATGTTTAAAGGCACAAAGTAGTTTTCTTTATCCGTCTGTGATGTGCTTGTTGGATTTTTGAACTCAAATAAATGAATTACCCCTAACAACATGGTGGCACTAAAAAATGAATGCCCTGCTAAAATTTGAAATCCTGGCAATGTGAAACTGCAAATGTATAACTGTAAACTGCAGTTTGTGGTTTCCCATAAAAAAACCGTATGCTAAAGGTCTCTAATAAATTCAATGAACCTGTAAGGGGAAAAGGTCATGGACTCACCGAAATGGTACGCAAGCCATTTTCAGCCTGTCGGTTCTTTATGTACTCAGAAAGTTTGGCATACGCAACAAATTCATTCAGGAAGGTTTTGATACCCAGCAATTCAGCAACAACATCACAGTCTCTCCATTCCACACCCATGATGAAGGCAACGGGTCGAAGAACATATGAGCAAATGTACTGTAAGGAATGAAAGGGGTGAAGTGAAATTTACTCTTACACCTGTCTTAAGTATATGTAAGAACTAGTGAGAAAAACAACCTCAAATAATAAATTGTTCTAATTAACAGTTCCCTGCTAAGGCTAACACAAATGGTGGCAGAAATGACAGCCATAGACTTTTACACTCCCACAATTACAGACGCTGTACAGCAAAAATCAGAAATAAAGTTCAAACCTCAAAACTGACTTCTGGTTTCCCAACCATGGACCCCAACCATGACAACACTCCATTGAAAAATGCAAGAAATGCCAGGAATGCAATCAAATTGGCAGCAATATTGGCAACTAATGCAATGGCAGTAGAGGCACCCTTGGCAGCGGCTTCAATGACATTTCTTTCATTCCTACAAAATAAAATAACACAAACAGGAATTGGGTTTCAGATTTCTCTTACCCTTTAAATTCAGTTGGACTCCATAGAGCTGTCATTTAGAATTTCCTTGCAACTATGAGCACTACTGCTAGCAACTGAAATAAATTCCTAATTGGTTCAATGTTGCATGTTCTACATGCATTACTGCATAGCCTGGAATGTGAAATCTTAGTGACAGCCCTGACCCCTCTAAAAAAACTGGAGCCTTTAAATATATTTGTCACTAGAGTTCACGCAACACAAAAGAAATTCTAGAAGTTTGAAGTACAAATGGTACATGCAGTGTAACTACATGTACAGTGCTCCAAGCTGAGACCGTTTTGGTTGCCATAGTGAGTAGAAAAAAAATTCACGACTAAAATTGCCATGAAAGTCGCCAATTTGGTGACCTGTGTTCAGCGATCATGTGCCAAGCTATTCCCAAGAAATTCCCAACATTTTGCAAGATGCGTTTTTTCTAGCAGTTAGTGTTTATGGTCTTTTTAAGATAAAATTTGTGTTAAATATTGTGTATGCTCTGTTTTCCTGATAATTTGCCTAATTTCACGCTGGTTCTCTGGGTATAAGGCATTGATATGTCGCGTGCACCTCCAAATTCGATAACGATGGTTGGGCAGCCATTTTGATTCTTTCAAACATTCATGTAGTGTTGCAGAGAGTGTCCCTTTTTTCTGGCAACGAATTTTTTATGTCTGGGGACATGACTTTAGGTTGCCAAAAGGTCACATTGAAAAATGTTGAGCTTGGAGCACTGATGTATAATACACTACAAAAGTGCACAAGAGACATTTTGACAGGACTAAGAGAAGGAACGTACAGGGAGAAATGTAGGAGTTCCACTCAAAATCTTCAGACCACATGGGGAGTCCAAACAAAGGAAACATGTCAGTGTAAAATGTATTGTCAGAAATGACCTAAAAGGAAAAAGGTGACCACTGCCTAAGAAAGGAAACCAAACCTGTGAACATATAATATCATGTTCAAATGACTAACCCCTTAGGAAGATCAATTTCATCCTCATTCAAAGTCTCTGGTATTTCTATTTCAGGATACATTAACTTAGAGATGGCAAGAGCAGCTGGGGCAGACATCACAGATGCACTTAACAAATGGGAAGCTGATACTCCAAATTCAATGTACGCTGCTAGTACACCCCCAGCAATGGTCGCAAAACCTCCAGTCATTATGGCATGAAGCTCGGACATTGTTACATGCTCAAGGAAAGGCCTGACCATGAGAGGTGCCTCAGTCTGAGTGGAGAAGAAATCAGTAAACATTAGCAGAAGCAGGACAGAAATACACGTAAAACTCAAAATATTAATATATTAATAAATTAAATATATATTAAAAATATCAGCACCTGCCCAATAAAAATGTTACCAGCAGCATTCAAAGACTCTACACCAGATGTCTTCATGGTCTTCTGCATGAGCCATGCAATCTTCTTGATTATCACTTGCATTATACCAATGTAGTAACAAACAGAAATCACAGAACTGAAGAAAATGACAACCGGAAGAACCTGCAAAGTAAACAATGACACAGCATTCACATAAGAAAATTATAGAGTCTGCTAAAAATTTATGTAGTACACTACGTAGCGACAAAGAAAATTGTGTCCAGTAGCCCAGGGCTAGTGGATTTTGCCATTGGGCCAGTGAATTATGTTCTTAACTTCGCCAATGGGTAAGTGAAGCTTTTGGAAATTCAAATTACACATTCAAGCACTGTAACACAATTTAACAATTAATGTGGAATTTTTTTCGAGCTTATCTAACAGCGTACAAAGAAAGTAGTGTCTGATAGCCCAGGGCTAGTGGATTTTGCTGTTGGACTAGTGAATTCTGTTTTTAACTTGTCCGATGGGCAAGTGAGGTTTTTTGAGGAATTTGAATAACAGAAGAACTGTGAAATCAATTCTGCTAGTCAAAACGTTTTTGGGGCTAGTTGAAATGACGTCTGGGCTAGTAAATGCTAGCTTCAGCTTGCCTGAATGGCAAGCTGTAAAAATTATTATCTTTGCACCCTGGCTAAAAAGGGAAATTTGCCAAAACAAGTATCACAGTTACATGACTAGACGTTGTGTGATTGTCACAACCTTCAGATAAAAAGTAAGACTTCAGAGGCCTCATAGCCTCGTAATAAATGATGGTGTAATTTATAAACAAATAATTAATAATTAATCTTGCTATGTGGTAAGTTGACACATATCAGTGATAATATTGTTACAAAAGCCATGAAAAGTGAATCTTAGCATGAAGTAAGAAAGAAATAAAGAAGATATGCAAGTCAGGGTTTCAAGTATGAAGCACCAATGATCGACAAAACCCATCAGGTACATTGCTCAGAGAAGTCTGCTACTTTTTTCCCCCAAAGAAGAAGCAACCAGTTTGAATAATGTCACAGGGCAAAAATAGAATTTGTTCACACAAAAATGTACGTAACTTAGTAATTATCATTCGTCATTGCTTGTACATGTAGGAGTTAATTGTGTGGCTAATACAGTTGACTCTTGAGAACTCGAACATCGTGCTATCTCAAACAAAAATTGTTTTCTCCTGGATTTCCATCATACATTTACTGTAATTTTACCCTCAGTAACTCGAACCGTCGATAACTCAAACCTCCCACAACTCAAAGTAGTTTTTGTTTTCCCCTCAGATCATTTCGATAATTATAATTTTACCCTTGATAAATGAGCCCTTAAAAAGTCAGGGAAAAAACAGTCTACTGGCATCCAAAACATTGAATTTTGCGTTTCCCATTGACGTGTTGTAGGCATATAGTTTACTAGTGGAGGTTGATGTTGTTTATCACAAATCTAACGTGAAACAGTTTTACTTCTCAAAACAGTAAAACGCATGCTCTATTTAGGCAATGTTTTGTTACGTTACGTTCTGATTTATAATCTAGAAGTGTCTTTCAATTTTTACTTAACATTTCTACAATTAACTGTGATTAAAATGTTCACTGTACAGTATAAAAACTGTTTTTTTTTTCCTTACTCCCAGCTATTTTTTCGAGCTCCCGATAACTCAAACGTTTTTGGATTTCCCTTGAAGGTTCAAGTTATTGAGAGTTGACTGTACATCAAAATTTGACTTACAGCTGGAAACCCAAATAACTTGCTCTTTTGTACTCAGTTTAGTCCTCTCAGTACTAGAAATTGCGTATGAGGGCTTTGCACTTTAAACATTGTCTGAGGGAGCATTCTCCCAGACACCGTATGAAAACGTGGACTACTGGCTCCTTGTTGATACAGTCGGTTACTCTAATCAAACCTGCTGGCTACTTCAATTCTTATCCAAACCCCTGCAAGTACTGATAGAATGGACACATTGCCTGCTACATTGTATGACAAAGTTCAATTAACACCACAAAAATATCGAAAACATAACTTATGGAGGGCAAGCCCTTTCATCAGACAAAATGAGGAAGGCTCAGCTCTAAAAACTTTTTAATTCTTTTACACTGTTGAGTTAACTTAATTAATTCAGTCCATAAAACTACATTTTTTAACATGCAGGTCAATAATAAAATGGAACGGTACCTTGAAAGCAAAGAAGTGTTTTGTGTAATCAGCTCCAAACACAAATTCAGCGCCCACATTGGTGTAATCAAGAAATATGGAGACTTGGTTTCCAAGTCCTTTGAATGCGTTGAAGCCAACTGAAGTCCGCAGAATGAGGACACCAAATATGAACTGCAAAGCCAGTCCCCAAATAACAGGGCGCCACTTAACCTAAAGAGATAGTCACATGATTAAAACTTTATTACATACTTGCTAACTTCTACTGACAACTCTTTTTAACACATTCACAGGTGGGAGAACATGCCTTCGTGCCACTTGTGATGTCATTAATTTAACATTTACTGAGATGATTTCACATCTAACTTGTTTTCAAATTGTGGAAATCACACTATGTTGCACCCTACAGTGCACCCTGTCAGAATGAACCAAGTTAGGCAGAAATTGAGAATATCATAGTTGGAAGAGGAGACTGGTTACGAAAAGCTGCAAACATCAAAGATAAAATAACGCCGTTGCAGATTATTTGGAAGCTCCTTAATGGTGCACAATCCTTTTTTTCTGTTCAGAAATTGGAAATAAATAAATTAATGTGATGTTTTTACTGGCCAATAAGAACAAAATGATTAGAATGCTATATATTAGTTTTACTATTTTTGACGTTTTTCTCTTGAGTTATCTCTTAATAGACCTTTTTACCGATACGGCAGCCATATTGAATTAATTGGATTTAAGGAGTATTATGGGATGCCCAGGGGGCATGAGGACGATCTAGAATACTTAGCAAGAGCAGCTGGGGCAGACATCACAGATGCACTTAACAAATGGGAAGCTGATACTCCAAATTCAATGTACGCTGCTAGTACACCCCCAGCAATGGTCGCAAAACCTCCAGTCATTATGGCATGAAGCTCAGACATTGTTACGTGCTCAAGGAAAGGCCTGACCATGAGAGGTGCCTCTGTCTGAGTGGAGAAGAAATCAGTAAACATTAGCAGAAGCAGGACAGAAATACACGTAAAACTCAAAAATAATGAAAGAATGCATCAAGTCAAGCCCCAAGTGACTTCTGATCTAGTTAGAAATTCTCCATTGAATTCATAATGAGTACAAGGCCATTTGCAGTCTTGTTCATTTTATTACATGTGGTTACTGCTTGACTGGCCAGCACAGAGTCAAAGCCTTTTTTTTACGCCACTTGAGTAAGCTTTCTCTCAGTTTCAAGATAAAACAAAAGTATAGGTAAAAAATATAAGCTTAGTCACATAGACATTGATGAGTACTGCTTTTAGTGTGCTACAAAATAAAACCTTAAGTTAACTGCTGCATTGATTACTTTGATATTGTTATAAAACAAATTAGTTCAAGTTTCAGCAGTGTGTATGTCAAGATATTGAGCACTTGGGAAGTTTGGAGAGCACTCAAGAGGCTAGAGTTGCTTTCTGCTACACTTTGAGCAACTCTTACACCTCTTTCGTGCTCTCCAAAATTCCTGCATGCTCAATTGAACTAATTATTAAATTTATATATTAAAAATATCAGCACCTGCCCAATAAAAATGTTACCAGCAGCATTCAAAGACTCTACACCAGATGTCTTCATGGTCTTCTGCATGAGCCACGCAATCTTCTTGATTATCACTTGCATTATACCAATGTAGTAACAAACAGAAATCACAGAACTGAAGAAAATGACAACAGGAAGAACCTGCAAAGTAAACATGACACAGCATTCACATAAGAAAATTATACAGTCTGCTAAAAATTTATGTAGTACACTACGTAGCGACAAAGAAAATTGTGTCCAGTAGCCCAGGGCTAGTGGATTTTGCCATCAGACCAGTGAATTATGTTCTTAACTTCGCCAATGGGTAACACAACTTAACAATTAATGTGGACTTTTTTTTGAGCTTATCTAAAAAGGAAAATTTGCCAAAACAAGTCACAGTTACATGACTAGACGTTGTGTGATCCACACAACCTTCAGATAAAAAGTAAGACTTCAGAGGCCTCATAACCTCGTAATAAATGATGGTGTAATTTATAAACAAATAATTAATAATTAATCTTGCTATGTGGTAAGTTGACACATATCGGTGATAATATTGTTACAAAAGCCATGAAAAGTGAATCTTAGCATGAAGTAAGAAAGAAATAAAGAAGACATGCAAGTCAGGGTTTCAAGTATGAAGCACCGATGATCGACAAAACGCATCGGGTACATTGCTCAGAGAAGTCTGCTACTTTTTTTCCCCCAAAGAAGAAGCAACCAGTTTGAATTATGTCACAGGGCAAAAATAGAATTTGTTCACACAAAAATGTACGTAACTTAGTAATTATCATTTGTTCATTGCTTGTACAAGTAGGAGTTAATTGTGTGGCTAATACAGTTGACTCTTGAGAACTCGAACCTCGTGCTGTCTCAAACAAAAATTGTTTTCTCCTGGATTTCCATCATACATTTACTGTAATTTTACCCTCAGTAACTGAAACCCTCGATAACTCAAACCTCCCACATCTCAAAGTAGTTTTTGTTTTCCCCTCAGATCATTTCGATAATTATAATTTTACTCTTGATATATGAGCCCTTAAAAAGTCAGGGAAAAAACAGTCTACTGGCATCCAAAACATTGAATTTTGCATTTCCCATTGACGTGTTGTAGGCATATAGTTTACTAGTGGAGGTTGATGTTGTTTATCACAAATCTAACGTGAAACAGTTTTACTTCTCAAAACAGTAAAACGCATGCTCTATTTAGGCAATGTTTTGTTATGTTACGTTCTGATTTATAATCTAGAAGTATCTTTCAATTTTTACTAAACATTTCTTCAATTAACTGTGATTAAAATGTTCACTGTACAGTAAAAACTGTTTTTTTCCCTTACTCCCGGCTATTTTTTCGAACTCCCGAGAACTTGAACTCCCGAACTCTCTTGAAGGTTCAAGTTATTGAGAGTTGACTGTACATCAAAATTTGACTTACAGCTGGAAACCCAAATAACTTGCTCTTTTGTACTCAGTTTAGTCCTCTCAGTACTAGAAATTGCGTATGAGGGCTTTGCACTTTAAACATTGTCTGAGGGAGCATTCTCCCAGACACCGTATGAAAACGTGGACTACTGGCTCCTTGTTGATACAGTCGGTTACTCTAATCAAACCTGCTGGCTACTTCAATTCTTATCCAAACCCCTGCAAGTACTGATAGAATGGACACATTGCCTGCTACATTGTATGACAAAGTTCAATTAACACCACAAAAATATCGAAAACATAACTTATGGAGGGCAAGCCCTTTCATCAGACAAAATGAGGAAGGCTCAGCTCTAAAAACTTTTTAATTCTTTTACACTGTTGAGTTAACTTAATTAATTCAGTCCATAAAACTACATTTTTTAACATGCAGGTCAATAATAAAATGGAACGGTACCTTGAAAGCAAAGAAGTGTTTTGTGTAATCAGCTCCAAACACAAATTCAGCGCCCACATTGGTGTAATCAAGAAATATGGAGACTTGGTTTCCAAGTCCTTTGAATGCGTTGAAGCCAACTGAAGTCCGCAGAATGAGGACACCAAATATGAACTGCAAAGCCAGTCCCCAAATAACAGGGCGCCACTTAACCTAAAGAGATAGTCACATGATTAAAACTTTATTACATACTTGCTGACTTCTACTGACAACTCTTTTTAACACATTCACAGGTGGGAGAACATGCCTTCGTGCCACTTGTGATGTCATTAATTTAACATTTACTGAGATGATTTCACATCTAACTTGTTTTCAAATTGTGGAAATCACACTATGTTGCACCCTACAGTGCACCCTGTCAGAATGAACCAAGTTAGGCAGAAATTGAGAATATCATAGTTGGAAGAGGAGACTGGTTACGAAAAGCTGCAAACATCAAAGATAAAATAACGCCGTTGCAGATTATTTGGAAGCTCCTTAATGGTGCACAATCCTTTTTTTCTGTTCAGAAATTGGAAATAAATAAATTAATGTGATGTTTTTACTGGCCAATAAGAACAAAATGATTAGAATGCTATATATTAGTTTTACTATTTTTGACGTTTTTCTCTTGAGTTATCTCTTAATAGACCTTTTTACCGATACGGCAGCCATATTGAATTAATTGGATTTAAGGAGTATTATGGGATGCCCAGGGGGCATGAGGACGATCTAGAATACTTGCATCAGTATTTACGTGCGCTTTTCGGGCCAATTTTTCTTTAAGTTTTCCCAGAAAAAGATTGTAATGGGAAAAAAGATCGTTGTGCATACATACATGCTTTTTTTCTTGGGAAAGTTATTTTATAAAAGCAGTTTGTTTGCATAGCCTGATATAAACACTCGAGGGGTTGAGAGAATTCTCGACAGTTATGCAAACCCGAGACGAACATAACTGTCTCGAATTCTCGCCACCCCTCTCTTGTTTATATCAAGCTATGCAAACACGGAAAACATTTTCTATTGCTCAAATATTACACGTCAATGAGGCAAAAACGCAGCCTAGATTGAACACTGAGATCATCTAGATAAGATACATGTAACATACTAAAAAGGAACTGCAAAAAAAGGGGAGCTAAAAAGAAAACTGCAAGAACTGTGAAGGAAAGGTTCACATCTCACCTTTCTAGGATGTCTGGAAAACAACCAGCAAAACAGGATATTAACAACTAGCCCGGCTATAGAAACAAACCGCTCCGGCTGCTTTGCAGTGTCAAGTCCAAAGAAAATTCCAAGAGCCACCAAAACAAGCACAAAAAAAACCCTGGAATGAAACACAAAGTCACGCAAATGAACAATGAGCAACACCTCCTGAACAACTTACTATAAAGCCTTTAAGTACTACCATCTCTCAAAAAGCACTCTCTTAATAAACGTGTGAGCATCACCTCTTTGACTCTAAAATTTGAACAAAGAAACCACCCTCGAGTACCTACAATCTTGAACAAAACTCTTGAGAAAATTGCATACTTAAGGTGATGTTACACGAGACAATTCACAACGACGATTTTTAGCGCAACACAGTGTTGCAATACTGTCGCGACATTATTTCGAATAGTTACAACACTGTGCCAACATTGCAACGCTGTGTTGCGCTAAAAATCGTCGTTGCGAATCGTCCCGTGTAACATCACCTTTAAAGAGCAGTTAATTTCTAAACATCGTGGCTGTAGCAAGTCTTAGTCCCTTCCCTTGGAAGCAGTGCCGTTGTGTCTTCAAAAAGCATCATCCCTGGGCTTTTTTAGGGGAGGGGGTTTACTTAATCCAAAGCCCTTGATTTGGAAACAGTTTTGTTGAGAAAGTTAGTCCACATCAATGAAAAAACGTTCTCAAGTAGTCATGTCCGGGATTGTGTTTGATAAAGTACAGGACCATGAAAATCTGGCTAATTAATGAGGCTGTCACATGAAAAATGACTGGTTTTCTTTATGATACCAGCATTCCCGGAAAAATTTTGGTCTGAAAAATATACTAATAATATACTAGTCACAAATAATGGTAAGACTGCAGGGTCCCGCTGTATTAATAATTTCTAGGAACACTCTTTTCACGGTCTCACAATAAATTTTAAGAATAATCCATTGTAAAGTTTATGTGCTTTTCACTTGATTATTCTCCTAAATTGACTTGAACTAACATATCTACCACTATATATTGCAAGTTATAACATATGAACCATCTGGTTTGTTTACATCAAACCTTTGAATTCAATTTTGCATGTATATATAATACTGTACAGGTCTACAGTACAATAGTCACGTAAAAGAAAAGTGTTTCATGTACATACCATTTCAAATACCGCCACCGGCTTTCCACAGCATTCACAATAGGTTCTATACACACTCTGAATATGTCAGCTCCACAATGATCCCGGATAAACATGTATGTCATGCAGAACCACAGAAACATTGTTATGCCAAAGAGCCACTTAACGTGCTCAAATCCACTAACAGCTATTGCTACAATGCTGTAGATCAGCAGTAAAACAGTGACACAGATCATGATCACAGTCATACCATGCCGTTCCCATAGGTCACTCAACTTATTCATCTCAGGTGAGTCTTCCCACTTTGCAACAATAACGTGGTAAAACTTCTTTTGATGATTGGTATGGCCATCGTCTGGCTTCAGGCTAGACTTGGACTCATTTACACCTGACATCTCTAAATGATCAAGCTACATGAAGGAAGTGGGAAAAAAGCATGTCAACATTAATTATTACAAAAGTTATGTTATTACCAGCAAAACCAACCCATGTGAAAGTACAATCAAAAGGTTCAAATATTATGCTTGTCCACAAAACACTCTCACAAATAGGGCAATCATCTCTTAGCCCCTCAGGAACTATATCCCAATATCCCACCACAGGGTCCAGAGGAGTTTCGTGTGAATAAATGAATTACTTATTTTAAGTCTCACCTTGAAAAATGTCTATACCTGTCACTTAGCACGATTAATTAGCCCAATGGGATCTTAATGAATCTACTGTAAACGATTTCTTCGCTTCTTATCTGACCAGATCGACTTTGTTGTCCGCCATTTTGAAAATCAATAACCGCAAGCCATATCCTTGCTGGCGCGCAGAACGTCGCCCGAAGGGTGACCGAAGGCTGTCGCCCAAAGGGCGACCGAGGCACGAAGTGCCGAGTAAAAAAAAGGACAAGGGAGGAAACTTGTACCACATGACTTCGTTCGCTGTGAACCGCATCACTCGGTGACAGAAGTGAATGAGACCGGAAATGCAGGAGCAACTCGAGAATCAAAACATCAGCTGCGGAGGGAGTTTTAAAGATCTCAGAGATCTATGCGAAGGCAACAGAGTTTTAATTGAAGTGAAGATCTTTCAAGACTGGACATTTTGTTGTACATATCAACAGTCTTTGATGTCTTAAGCAGGTTTCGCTTGTGCAAAGGCTTCCCAGTAGTCGCAAAACACACAGCCAAAGACGCAAGAGGTAATATAGTTGGACCACCAAAGAATGGCACAGTCGTGATGATATTACAGTTGCCTTGTACGTTCGCTCTACTCAGTGTCACGTTTTATTGCAAGATTACACATGACCTGTAACTCATTACCCATAATAATTTAACATTCTCCAAACAAAACTAACAAGCTGGGCCCAGCGTGATACAGCATTGCAGAAAAACATTACCTTCACGGACTAAAGAAAATGGCTTAGTTATTCAGATCCAGAAGGCACTTTGGAGAAAACTGGAACCCTTATTCAGCCGTAATAAAAAGCTTAACACTTCAAAAGAGGTCAAAGAAAATGCGCTTGCATCAGAGAGCAAATCCTGTCGACCAGAAACAATAACCACAGTAAATTGATATGTGTGTCATGACCTCTCAGTGTGAAACATGCGGCTAAAATCACATTTGCCCAGTGAAAATTACAATGTAGAACCTTCCGGGGGATAATCTACCTAGCAGAGGAAAAAAAATTTATTGGAACGAGCAGCATTTTGGCATGAGGTAACAGTCGCGTAGGCTTACCAACCCCTTTTATTGCTCCGATCTTGAGCGCATTTACTTTACTACGTCATTTCCGTCACCATCTGTTGCGGTGCACAGCGACAAAAGGGCTATCTCGAAGCCGTACAATTCAGTCGCCGAAAATAAATTTGAACGCTTATTTATACCGTTTTCCTATAGTACTTGGCAAATACATAAGAATTCTAGATCAGGTTAGAAAAATCAGGCGATTTCATTCAATTCCATTTGAGTTTCAGGGATTCGAAAATCGGCCCCAAATTTGTTTCCTCCCTTTCCGTATTTTATACCGTAACGCCTGCGGTAAGCCGATCTTGCGAGCCCTCAGTCTCTTGGATTGCGGTCTATAGAATGTGTAACGAAACTGTAACGCAATCAAAATAACCCATTTTTTCAGAGGTTTTCGACGGGTTTTGATGTTCTAACAACAAACACATCTCCTCTGGACCCTGTGATCCCACTGTCAATGTTTAGTCATTATCTTTGTTTGTACCCGTTATGACTTGCTATCATGTAGAATTTCAAAATATCGAACATGAGAAACTTGAGTGTTGGTTCAAGGCTGCAAATAACAGTCGGTCATTGGACAATTGTCCGGTAAAGTTGATATTTTTACCGGCAAAATACTAGTCTAGTCTGTCACTCTGACCAGGCACTTTTGATCCAAATTAAACTTTTAATTATCATACTTTAATAACGCTTGTGGCAAAACATTGTCCCGTTATTCTGCTAAACACACACATTGACAATCAAAAAATAATAATCTGCTATCGAAAAGTAAATCAGAATTAAATTTTTGTTAATTGTACTGGTAAAGAATTCGGCTTATCACTTATTTTCGCGGTGATGAATTGTAGACATGCCGGTTCGGGCGCTCTGGTTTCTGTGAAGTCACATTTCTGAAAAACTATCAAGACTCCAAATTTATTAATTTCATCAAATGAAACCCAACTCAGGGTAAATACTCCTATTTATTTTATTTTATTTTGTTCCTTCGACTATAAGACCCATTCAGAGCAATAATCAGCAAGCTTTTTTCGGAATTTATTGCATTCACGAATCAGTCCCATTTACTGACATAATGTGTATAAAGAAGCCCCATGTTGCAGATTTCTAAGACAAAAAGTTTATAAAAGATTCCAAAGTATATTAACCTAAACAGCAGTTCAGTGCACTCAGGAGGTTTTGAAATAACATTGCTTCCAACTAAACAGACAAAACACGAACGACAATAATATTAGTCACTCTTTGTGGTCACGATTGCATAGCCCTTAACTTCTGTTCCAAGTTTACAGTTTCAACTTATCGTAAAACAGGCATTCCCATCCTATAAAGCCATAGGCATACACAAACTATAACAGCCTGGTAACGCAGGGTGAGATTTTACATTGTTTTGGATATTTGTGACAAATCTGCGTGATCTAAACATCTGACTCGGTTTTTACCCGCCATATCCGATTACAGATGTTTGTTCCACTTACGCGGGAAAACAGAGAGTGTGAGAGAAAATTGTGTCAGTGGTCGCCTATGAGTCGATTGTTTGCTTGATCATATTACTTGGTTGTTTGAGTTTCAGTTCAAGTTCGATGGCAAAAATGGATTTTTTGCAGTTACAGTGCGACCCATGAACTGATTCCAATATCTCAAGAAGCATCTTGACCGAAGTTTCGGCGAGGAAAAACAAAGCTATTGTAAATCTCTCTCCAACCCTCAAAGTTAAAATTTTTGTTCAGTGGCCATTTGGCGATCAGCTCTTTGGGTTTAGTCGCCAGGGGAAATTTTTAGGCACCAAATTATATTAATAAATTAATATATCAAAATTGTCAGCAACAAAAGCAGTTAGCAAGTTTAACTTAAAATGCAGCACTGTCTATAAATTGCTCGTTTATTGTGCAAGGCATTAGTTACTGATAGTCCGAGAATAAGGTTTGCAGATTTCTCTCCTTGAATCAACAATGAAACGGAATTGTAAAGACAATTACCATTTCCAGTTGTCTTTGAGACCTTCAATCCTTCTGTATAATCCCCAGTTGGTATATGAGAGCAGAACTTAACTCATCCTCTGTTAATGTGTTAAAAATTTCCCAGTCGCAACTTGATAGGCGACCTATTTTTTTTTTCTAATATTTGTTTCGCATTTCTTTTGCGACTTTTGTTGATGATGAACTTGTTTCCCCAACTATCAAATATTTTTGGAGATTTAAAAGGTCATTTTTAATATCGCTAGACATCACGAAAGCCTGAAAAAGGCAGGAGAGTATAGGAAGATCAACAAGTTTTGTAAATCAAATCATTGCTTTATAGAGATACATGGAAATTTCGCAACGAGTTGTACTGGGAAAAAATGTTTTTCCCAATCAATTGAAAGGAACCCAAACAAAAATGCCGCTTACAAAATAAAAATTTTCTTTTTCCTTTATCATTGCTACAGGTGTTTAAAAAAACCATTTTTTGCAACCAGTTTTGCGATGTTTAGTTTCGCTTACATTTATCGCTTTTGTTTACAAAACCGCGATTCAACTCGCAGCACGGTTCACATGTTACGGTTATCACATAATGTTCTGTGTTGAATTTGCACCAATTTAGCTTTCCCTCTTCATGTTATTAGATTGTTTCAGTATTGATTCAAAAATATTTATAATATGTAGTCCAGTTAAAAAACCACCGAACTTGGCTTGACAAGCATTCCTAAGATATCGAAGAAATCGTCACTGTTGACAAGCAAGGTGCTTCGAGTGCATGCCATTTGTCACGTGTCAAAAGTTAAAATGTCACGTGCAAGGCAACAGACTGAAGGCAATTTGGCGAACGAATGCAAGTCAAGTTTCATTGATGTTCATTTTCAAAACGCTTAGCTCTGAGATTTTTTTAAGTTTTCAATTTAGCATGTTTTTCAACGGAAAAGTAAAATAGTAATAGAATTCAAATCAGCTAGAATAAATGTTCTTCATATTTCAGCAGAAGTGATTGCCATTTCTGTTTCTATACGCCAACACGAACCTATTCTGCACGGTCGCCAGCTTGGCGACTATCTCAAAATCAAGTCGCCAGTTCCAAAATTTTAGGCGCCATGGCGACTAAAATGGTCGCAACTTGGAGGGTTGCTCTCCAACAAATACGATCAAGTTTCCCGTTGGATAAAACAAAAGGAGTCAATCAAAAATCCAGAAATGACTGACAAGGATGAGGTTGGCCAAACACTTATTCCGGAGGACATTAATTATTCTGGAAGATGAAACCAGTGGATTTCTTGCTTGCAAGGTGACTGGAGATGGCGATCGTTTGTTTCACTCCGCCAAATCAGAAAAGAAGGAAAGCCTACAAAAAAGGGGTCCCGGCAAAATGCCTTCATCTCAAAGAAGATTCTTCTGATGAAAGCTCATCAGAAGAATCTTCTGAGGAGAGTCTTTAAGTGCAAAGTCAGTGAAGACTAATCAGTGAACTGTTACAACTGTTTCAGCTCCTGTCTGTGATTAATATTGTGCAATTAAGGAAGTGAAATGGGTTGTTTTGTTGAATTCTTAATTTTGCTCTTTCACTTGGAATTTCTTTTGTCTGACCAGACTGTTTCCTTGTCAGATCAGGTCTGGTCTCTGACCTGACAAATGACCTGCTTAAGAAAAAAAATTATTTGCAGCCTTGTGGTTGGTTCTACGACTGGTTCTTAATTCTATTAGAATTTTTCTGGTTGAGTTTATTGTTACATTTAGCTATATTTTTGATCTGAGAAGTTTTGGCTACTGCCATTGTATGGGTTTTCTGAAGTGAATGTATCAAAGAAGTACTGTTGGAACCAAATAGTTATTAGAACTAAACGCTTTTGAGTCCTTTAAGTTTTGGACCAGTCAGCCTGAGGTTTAAAAATTTCTTCAAAATCTAGAGTTGGCTTTAAATATATATTGTTACCGTTATCGTTTATTATATATGTGGTAGTTATCTAACAGCAATTCCCCGAATTTCAGTGGATAAAATTTATTAGTATATACTAAAACAGTGGATAGTGTTTTTCGTATGCTCTGATTGGCTACTCAATCAGTGAATATCTTGCACTATTCACTGATTCACCTCCAGTTCCTTCAAGCGAGCGACGCCAAACTCGCGTAGGTTGCGAGCAAAATGCTTTCCCGGTTTGCTGCCATAACAATCTAAGAAATTTCACAACTAATCAAGCAAGCTATTTCCGAAATACATGAAGAAGGTGACGAAGTTCGGTTTGGAAGTTTTAACAGGTAAAGCTTTGTCTTTTTGACTTGAATAGTTACCGATAAAACCGGTGAAAAAGTTTTTTGTTTACAAAAGCAAATTAAGCTTAAGTCTTGCGTTACTTTACTTAGTTGACTTGTTCATGAATAAGCTTAAAACTAAATTTAATAATTTTTTTTCCAGAATTATTTTAAATACAAACAGAATTCACAACTCCTTTTGAAGAAACTTCCCCGCAAGAGCTAAACAAACGCCTTCAAAAGTTTTATTTGTCGCTAAGAAAAAGTGACGACCGCGGACGTTCGGTCATCGCGCGCCAAAATTGTAATCGTTGGCAACGGTAAATGAGTTAAAAATCATCATTTTGTGCTCAATTATCTCACTGTTTTAGTATATACTAAAACAATTATTCACCTCAGTGTCAGTGGCTAGTATTGGAAATTTACCTCGCCGCTTCGCGGCCTCAGTAAATATCCAATACCAGCCACCTCCACTTCGGTGAATAATTGTTATCTATCAGGAATAAACACCAGCCTATTTATCAACTTGTAAACAACATTTTGGGCAGACTGTTACCAGAAAATGGCTCAACCAGCTTCACACTACATTTTTCAGCAAAAATTTCAAGAAGCAAATGTGATGAATTGAATGCTCTCACAATACATTGTAGAATTTCACTGCATAGTGACAGAAATAGACAGAAATTGATATATCTTTTGTAAAGTCATATTTTTAATTCTTAAAATAAACAACTTGTGGCTGGCAATCTCAAACATTTCCGGCGTCTGGAATGTTGTAGTCACGGAGTCTAACATTACAACTGTGAATGATCTTTGCATGACTTCAGCGTCAAGTTTGAAAGTAAAATATTGTTGTTCGAGTGAGGCCTTTATTTGCTGTTAAATTAAAAATTAAGTGAAAATCTGAGCTTTNGTCTAATATTACAACTGTGAATGATCTTTGCATGACTTCAGCGTCAAGTTTGAAAGTAAAATATTGTTGTTCGAGTGAGGCCTTTATTTGCTGTTAAATTAAAAATTAAGTGAAAATCTGAGCTTTTGCTGATCAATGCCATCATCAATGTCTGTTCAAACAGGCTTGTATCCACAGAAATGACTACTTCATCTACTTTTTAGGTGTCTATGTTCACCTGATAGTGTCTGCTTTGTAAACGTCTCACACAAAGTAATTGAGGGAGGAAATTTGGGACTTGGGGTATTGCTCGATTTACAGAGGGTTAATAATACAGGTTTCACTACCGTACTTAATTACTCGCAGCTACTCATTAGCACTTCGCTTACACCTTACAAGAGTACAATAAAGTATTATAATTTGTACTTCGAACGAACAAATCATGAAAATCAGCGGATAAGGTTCTGAAAATAGATATAAAAGAAAAATGGCTATCGCTGCAATCGTCTTGAAAAAATATAAAACAGGACAAACTGCATTGTTGAAGGTGCATTTAGATCACCGAAGTAAGCAGACTTTTACCTAATTATGTTCGCTCCACAATGATAGCGAATTCAGCGACGCTAAAACAGTGGTGCAGAGCACACCAACCGTAGCAGAGAACAAATAATCCACAAATTCCTCGCATTTACCATGACCGCGTTTGTATCTAAAGTATCAGATTCATCTGTTTCTCGTAACATTTCACCAACTTTCGTACCAAGAGTTGAGCTTTATTGGTTACATGTACTTCAAGCTCGGTAAATTCAGAGCGAAGTGTTGCGTAATAAATTCAGCAAAATCGCCCCCAAATAAGAAACGCAAATTAGTGGTTCACTTTCTCAAAGAAAAGAGCGAGATTGCTAGTTGAAGAAGATAAAACACGCTTCACAAAGCAAAGTAAAAAACACGTCTGTCTGACAAGAAACCCCAGTGTGCTTGATCAGAAGCATATAACCCAACGGATCAAAAATGTTGCCGGCTTGATCGTGCAGTCTAGCGGAACTCTTTATCCAAAGAAGATAGTTAAGTTATAATAAAAGACTATTCTTCGTATTTGTAAATTGTGGTTAAAATGAAATCCACTGCTTTCACCAAATGCACCACGAAACGGAATCACAATACTAGAGTGTAGCTTTATACTGGTCTTCAACCAATATAAGCTTACCTCTCAATGCCCTTCGACTTCGTATTCTGAAATTATCATTTGAAAGTAAGACAAACGAAAATATCAGTCAAGATACACTTACCGAAGTCATCTTAGCAGAATGGGTGTTTCTGTGAAATTTAGTACAACTTTTTAAACATTAACTCGACGGTAAATGTTTAAGAGCACGTGGTGATCCGAAGAGAAGTTTGTATGAGTAGAAGTCAGTGGTCGTAGGAGTAGGTGTGACGTCACGTACAACCGTGACGAAAGCGGGAACAATACGACAAGAATTACCATACGACAAAAATGCTTAACATATATTTTCAGCGATCTTTCAAGGTTAGAACGAAGATTTTTTAACTGGAAGGCTTTGTCTAGTTTTGATAGATAAGTAAGGCTATGAATTTACAGCGAAAGTTCTAACGCACGTGGGACGCTCGAGTCGATTCATTCTTTCCACTCCTCGTGGTCGCAATTATAAACAAATGAAAGGTCTAAAATAACCGATAAAATATATCGTAAGGAGGATAATATAATGACATACCATCATGGATTTTTCATCTTCACCTTCGTCGCTAAGAGCACTGCGTAATCCATCTACAACACAGCCACTGTCTTCGAGATTAACCGCGGTTTTTCTTGGCGGGCTTTCCATTGTTTATCGCGGAGTATCCAAGTAAAATCAGCTTGTAACTGAGAAAAGAAGCAAAGCGATCGGCATCAAGTATAGTATATTTCGAACTACTATCCAGTTGCGATAAGATAGCTTTCATTTATTCCTTGGTTGCTTTGAAAACGGAAATTTTATGAAAGCATGTAAACGGCGCGAACGCTGAATTTGGCGCCAACGACAGAACACATCGTGCTGTTCCGAAGCGTGTTACTCACCGAAAAATCACTCTAAACTCTTCAGACTTCTGGAACGATCGAGAAAGAAGTAGGTCGCTGATGTATCACAGATTTACGGGAAGGATATCCTCGAGGAGAAAAACTGTAACGAAATAATAGAGAAGGAAAGGATGTTTACAGCAGGACAGATCGATTGAAGACTGCTGTGCAAGGCTCCTTTGTCGAAATTTGTTCTTGGCGCGAGATTGAACCAGCCAATGAAAAGGTTCAGTATGATCACGTGCCTCATTTTACCCGCGAAGTCACGATAAGAATACGACATCTGGACTGGACTGAACTGAAAGATTTAGACATTTTTTCACACAGGAGCCCATAGCCGATTATAACCTTTTTTTATATGGGCTCCTGGTTCTAAAGATTAACGTGAGTTTCCTCGTGAATCCTCCACCTCACATAAAAAGTTCACCAGCCTTGAAATCCCTCAATCGCTCAACCACCAAGTCTCATTCTGAGACATCAAACTATATTAGACCAAAATACAAACCTAGCACAGCTTAGAAAGGCCACAGTTAGTAACAACGGAAAGGATAAGTGCAAGTGCGAATAATATCTTAAAAAAAGGATCGAAAATAAATGTGATCTCAGAAAAGGATAGCCCGTGGTAAACAGACGCATTTTTCAGATGTTTCGGGAGGGAGAAGCGAGGACCGGAAATACGTCTGCCGTTCGCAGGCTTCGAAACGGGAAAGTGCCAAAGAAAAGTTTTATTTTATAGCGAAAGCGGCGAAACTGATCTGACAGAATTCGTCGGAAGTTGTTTGGCTTTGATAGTCTAAGATTGCGTTGAATAATTTTAATTCCTCCTATCATTTAAGCACAAGTCTGAGCACCAGTACAATTTTTACTATTTGTATTAGGAACAAGGAAGTCGTCAGACAGATCTTTTCATGTTTTTAGCACGTGCTTAGAAGTAAACTACTGATAATCCGTTCAAGTGCTCTATCATTTTCCGCGCTCACAACCAGCAGCAACTTTCAGTTTACGGAGTTCGGTTTCAAACTCATAACATTGTGTCCTAAAAACTAATATTTATGGTCACTTTTAGAGGTTTTTAGCAAATAAAATAAAATGGCACACAGAAGAGAAAATTGGTTGGGGATATACTCAGTAAGCAAAGCTGAATAATTAGCTTCTTTGATAGCTTGAAAACTCGGCACAGATGACATTCGCATATTTAACAAAACCCAGACTCGTGACAATGTTTTAAACACCGGACATTCACACTAGCAGAGCTCAGAACTGAAGGATTCAAAAAGTCCTATATTTATAAATGGCACAAAATTATTTCTTTAGTATTAAATTCTACAGGTATTTTGGAAGCAAAACATTATTAGTGCGGTGGATGACGAGTGCAAAAGCATTCATCTTTAAGCAGCTTTCAGGCGTGGAGTATTTAGTTCATATTTTGATATTCCCTTATTAATTAAGCGTTTTACTAAATGAGGTCACGGTATGTCAGCAGCGAACTCTAAAAATATCACACGCAACTTTGGCCTTCTCTAAAGCTGCATAACACTCAATCTTCCCAGTCTGAGTCAATGAATTTCATTGCAAACTAGGTTATG